GCGCAGGTGCCTGCACCCCCCAGAGCTGGCCGGCAGCTCGACGACTGGGCGCGCACCAAAGGGGGGGCGAGACGGCGAGGGCGTGAGTTAAGGAGTGGGCCCAGGAGGCTGCAGACCTTCTCTGATGAGGGCGGCGGTGCTCTCTATGGCCAATGCACGATTGGAGCTCCACCGGCTTCCAGACCCTGGGTTCCTTATCCAATGCTTCCTTGTCCAAGGCCCCCACCGTAAAAGGGGGGAGGGAAGAGAGGTGCCCTCTTCGGGCCCTACAAACTCTTTCAGGGGCCTTTCGGGCCCCTTTGAGGGGCCCAAACCCCTTTTCTGCAGCCCTCGCTACCCCCACCAATATCGAGTAGGGGATCGTCTACAAAATTGAAGTTGATTCCCTCGCCGAGTCATTCGTAGAATGACGTTAGTAGATCTACGCATTTCTCCCGGATTCGACGAACAAATGAATTCAGGGGGGGGGGATCAATTCTGCAGTCGATCCCCTACTTGAATTGATCGTCCCCCCACTAAGTCGCGCCCAAGACGAGGGCGTCGAGGTTCTCCCGGAACTCCGCGTACGGCGCGACCCACGCCTCCGCCACCCTGCCGCTCTTCGGCTTGGGCTGCTGCCCGTCGGCCGCAACGGTGTAGCCATCGGAGACGACGACAGAAGAGGAAAGAACTGCAAACACATGAACTTACGGCAAGTTCGTGCCGTGACGATCTCCTCCTCCTCCTCCTCCTCATTTTCCTCCTCCTCCTCCTCATCCCTATCCTGGATCCTCCTCCTCCTCCTCCTCCCCCTCCTCCTGCACCTCTTTCTCCTCCTATTCCTCCTCCTCCTCATACGCCTTCTCCTCCTCCACCTTCACCTTGTCGACGCCTCGTGCCCTCCTATTCCTCCTCCGCGCGAAGTCCTCCTCCGCCCCGACACAGCCTGGGCCGCTCCACCTTGAGCGATCGGCGGCTCCCCGATCGCCACATCGTTCCACACTGGCCCACGCTGGACCACTGGCAGCATTCAAACTTGGTCGGGCGGATGGTACACGTCGGTCGGAAGAAGTAGATAATCGGGTGGGGCGAAAGGGGGGGATAGCAAAGGGGGGGTTTGAGAATCAGCTCACGTAGCTGATTTTCCCGGCGCCTCCCGGCGTCGGGAGGCGCGCATGTATCGAGGAATGGGCCCCTCGGTGAGGCCGAAACCAGCTGCATGCAGCAAATTTCGTAACCCCCCCTTTCCCAATCCCCCCCTTTCGCCCGACCCGAGATAAGAACATGAAGTAGGAAGGCGGATAAAGTGGATTGGGTCCAGGCCCTCCCAGACAATAACAAAACACAGCAGAAGCATCTCGGTTCTTGAAGTAGGAAGGCGCTTGGAATAGATTGGGATCTGGGAAGCCAGAAATACATACTTTCAACGGCCGGCGTGTAGTGGGGGTGATCTACATATGGGGGGTGAAGAGCGGGGCCCTACGGGGTCTCCTTCGGGCCCCATTTGGACCTCGATTGGCTCCAATGGGGTCCCTACAGGGCCACAGTAGGGCCCTCTTCTTCACCCCCCATGTGAGCCACCCCCCAATCACTTGCCGTCGCTCGGACGTCCATTTCCCGTGCATGTTTCGGTTTCGTGCGTGTTTTTTTGCTCGATGGTCCAAGATGGTCCCCGGTGGTTCTCGCCGAGAAAAAATGCACACGTCCGAGCGATGCCAAGGTCACCACCCGCCCCACTTGACCGCCCGCGGGGGCGTCGCTTCCGCGTCGCTCCCGTGTCCGTGCGCCACGAACCTGCCGCACGGAGGTCCACGCGGGATTTTTCTGACAAGTGCTGGAGACCCCCCCCCCGGGCGAGCCGATCCGAGAAACCCGCGCAGACCCGCGAAAATCCATGCGCATGCCGTCTGTTTCTCTTCGAGATGAGACTCGGGCACGCCGCCAGCGCCCCTCCGGCCACGTATGGGGGGACAAAGGATGACGTAAACGTAAAAACTCGGAGCTCCGCGCAGATTCCAGGCACGCGGAGCGCGTCAGGGGCGGCGCTGGAGGCGCCACCAGGGAGCGCCGATCCGAGGAATCCGCACGGAACTCCGTGTTTTTATCTTTATGTCATAGTTTGTTCCCCGACATGTACGACCCGAGCGTCGTCTCCAGCATCTCCGTGGACGGATTGGAGCGCACGGGGGAGGTCACGAGCACCACGGTGAGAAGCCCAGGTAGGCCCCCACCTCGGCCGCCCTCCGGGCACGCGCCACCGCCGCCCAGAACAGCGGAGGGGGCTGCAGGGGCGCAGGAGCCGTCAACGCCCTGGTCCATCGCGAATCGCAGCCTGCCCTCCCTGCTGGGCGCGCTTCCAACCTCCTCCTCCTCCTCCTCCTCCTCCTCCTCCTCCTCCTTATCATCATGGTCATCAACAGCAGCTGAAACTTGAACTTCATCATCACCACCACCACCACCACCATCATCAGCATCACCATCATCAGCATCAGCATTGACATTACCAGCAAAATCACCACTACCACCATCATCATCATCATCATCATCATCATCATCATCAATTTCATCCTCATCATCATCATAATCCTCCTCCTCCTCATCATCATCATCGTCACAAGTATAATCATCGTCACCGCCATCAACATCCTCAGAAGCATCATAATCGTCGTCATCACCATCAGCAGCATCATCATGGTCGCCATCATGGGCATCATCAACATCATCATCATCATCACCATCATCATCATCATCATCATCATCATCATCATCATCATCATCGCCATCAGCATCATGGGCATCAGCATCAGCACTTGCATCCTCACCACCATCACCCTCAGAACCATGACTACCATCAGCAACATCAGCATCATCATGGTCATCAGCAGCAGAACCTCATCCTCAACATTAATCATGAGTAGCGTCATCATCACCATCGTCGTCAACATAAGCATCATCACCATCATCGATATCGTCAGAATCATCATCACAATCATCGCAATCATCACAATCATCGCCATCATCATCATCATCACCACCATCGTCATCATCATCATCATAAGCATCATAATCATCCTCACCATTGTCATCACTATCCAATTGCAGAATCGCCATCAGTACTACCATCATCAGAATTAGCATGACCATCGCCATCATCATCATTACCATCACCGTCAGATTCATCATCAGCATCACTACCCCCGTCGTTATCATCATCGACAACATAGTCAGCATCATCACCATCAACATCATCATCGTTATCATCATCAGCACCAGCATCAGCATTCGCTGCAGCACCACCATCACCATCACCCCTTCCATACTCATGATCATCAGCAGCGACATCAACATCAACATCAACATCATCAACTCATGACTGGAGGCGCGGACCCCATTGCTCGGCGTGGATGCGAAGGTCCCCATGCTTGGCCTTGGGGCCCACGTTGGCCTCGTGTCTGTCTCCCTGTGGTGCTATGCCTGCTTGGAGCGACAGCATCAACATCAACATCATCAACTCATGACTGGAAGCGCGGACCCCATTGCTCGGCGTGGGTGCGAAGCTCGCCGTGTTTGGCCTTGGGGCCCGCGTTTGCCTCGTGTCCGTCTCCCTGTGGTGCAATGCCTGTTTGGGGAGAGTCATCAGAAGGAAAGAAAGTGAGCGAGGTCGGCGTCGATGCAGCCCTGCCAACAAGCTAAGCGACGCAAGAATGAGCTGTCCGAAACAGTGCGCTCCAACGCCTGGTGGCGACGCGAGACGTCCTGGCCCCTTGCCCGACGCTTCGCAACATTGGCGATGTCGTGCAGGTTAAGGAGCTCCGTCAACAATTTGAGCACCTGGAAATTGTGGACCATGCGAGGGAAAGTCCAGCACCTTGGACATCGGCAACGTATAGTGCAGACGCTGCACTCGATATCATCCCAGTTGCGCGGGGGGGGCAGAAGCTGCGCGAGAAGGCTGAGAAACGGGACGACGCATGGGGTCGCAGCGTCGCATCCGACACGCCGCCGCAACAGGGCGCGCTCCTGGAACTTGGCGACCTACTTCGCACATGAGCGGTCTCCCCAGCCTGGCCGCATGCAGAAAGCAAGATCGGTAGGATGCTGTTGTATGTTTCGAAGTCGCTCCAGTTGCGGACCTGGAGTTGGAGGTCGCTCAAGACGGGCGGCCTCGTCCTGCAAGGCGGGGAAGGTCCAAGCCATTTTCCTGCGGCGGAGCCGAATGCCAGAGATGGCGTGGCATTCCGTGAAAGTTGGTTCCAGGACGCGCGCCTCGACGATGACGTCCGGGAGCACAGCGGACAAATCGTCCGCGTATGCTCTGAGGGTGTTCAGCGGACCCATGCGCAGGGCCAACCGAATGAGGACGTCCGAAATGCCAACGACAATCCGCGGCGAGAACGGCCGGTCCTGTCGTGCTCCAGACGACAGCGCAAAACCGTCATGGCCTTAACACCAGAGGGAGATGCTGCGCGCACTGCACCAATAGAGCCCAAGCACGAGCGTGCAAACCCAACGGGGCCACCTTTTTAAACATAACCTGGTGATAATAACCCCAGCCTGGGGTTCATCCCATGGCGATAATAAAATTCGAGCCCCAGGCGGGTGAATCAACTTTTCTCCAGAGATGTCGATGTTAGGATGTCTGGATCGCGCTTCGCCGCAGACGTCCTCGCAAACAGAGCTACGAGGAGAATTTTGGAAGGGATGATAAAGTTCGTCTTCCCCGCGAGCTGCTTCAATTGAACCGCATTCAACCCCGTGGATAAAGAGATACAAGAGGAAAGGGGTGGGGGGAATGCATTGTTTTCCGGGGGATGCGGTTCTGCTTCAGGACGTCGTGAAAAAAACATGCGAGACACTCGGGAAGGCGGCCTCGAAGTCGAAAAACACTCTGGCAGCTGCGGGGGAAACGAGCGCATGTCGTAGCATCGCGGCCTACACGTCGACAGTGTTGGCGAGCATCGACCGCCCCTGGATGAACCCCCGCTGCTCGCCGGCGAAATCCGAGGCAATCTGCGGCTCGA